CCGGCGGCCCGCGCTGTGGGGAGGCCGGGCCGAGCCGTGCGCCGCGATGCGCGGCTGCCGCCTGCCCCGTCCGGCGGGACTGCGAGCGCTTGGGGCAGGCGGTCCCGCCCGGCGCGCGGGCCTCTCCGCGCCGCTTTGCACGGGCGGCCTCGCGGGGAGCTGCGTTTGGCGCCGCGTTTTGCAAGTGTAAAGCAGCGCAAGAAGGGAGTGAGTTGTAGCCTCTGCCTAACGCGCTCTGGCCCGTGTCAGCCCACAGTCTGTGTGAGAGGAGCCGCCAAAGCAGGTTCGCTCTGAACAGACGGCACTGTGTGAGCGCGGCTGGCGCTTTGTGGGTGTTTGCTTCCTCCTCTCCTTCTGAAAGGAGGCCTGTGCTTTCCCGAAAGCATAAAAGGAAAATCCTGCTCCTTCTACGCGTGCCAGTAGTAGGTGTTCAAGTTTGAACAGTTCACATCCCATGTGCTATACTCCATTAGATAAACAGCAGCAAGGACCTTGCAAGATTTGCATTTCCCGCGGTGCATAACATCCATTTTTCTGTGGTCAGAGCCAGTTCTGTCAGTCTGCTCAGGGAAGTGACTTCTCGTGTGGTGGGTTTTGACAGCTATACTTCGTCTTGTGCTAAACAGAAAAGAGAGTTCTACATTTATATAAAAGGCATAGCTTATGTGTGTGCATGATTTAAGTATGTTTGGCTTGAGCTGATTTTGACTATTATTTTAAAGTTTCTCTAAGCATGGACTTGTACAGAAATAGGTTGTCAATGTATTTTTTTTTCCATGCAGCCCTTCATGTACATCAAGGCAAGGCTTTTTAGCTTTATTTATTTAATTATTTTATTATTATCCACAGTTAAGCCTTGATATCTCATTCCTTTCTGAATTTCTGCATAAAAACGCAGTACATAATTTTACCTGTGGTGCTGCTTACGCTATCCAAACAACAGTTTTAAAACTTAGTGCTTGAGGTAGAGCATGGCACTAAATTTTTGTGAGTGTGAGTAAAAAATCCTGTAAAATCTGACCACATTTCACAACAGTGTGGGAAGTATTTCTTGCTAACACTGCCCACTAACTAATTAAGAGATGTGTATGCAATAGGGCCACCTAGGCCTGCTTGGTCATAGTGACAAGGCAAACTACAGAATGCCTGGTGTTGTGTACATCCGGCACCTGGATTATCCATTAAACAAATGATTGATTGTTCTTCTCTTCCTCTCTTCCTTCAAGTTTAAATGGCTTCTCTGCATTTCTTCTCAGCTCTATTGCTCCTTCCCAGCACTTTAGAAAACTCTGCAAGAGCCAAGTGAGGAAGAAAATACTGTTTTCCTCTTAAACATACCTGTTTTTTTTTTTTTTTTCCCATTGAGGGCAACAAAAACTGTTGATGCTTCTCTGCACATGAACTTTCAGGCAGTCAATAGCTCTTTTTCCAGTTCTTGTCAGTGGTGTGCGTATAGTGCCCTTCATGAGGGAAGACCATGGAAATCCCAGGAAAAAGGACTTGCTGCAGGATGGAGTGTTAAACCCTTGTTATCTCTGGGCAGTGCTAGGGGACCACTCACAATATTATTTCCGAAGATACCAAGTTTGCCTGAAGCAGCACTTTTGCTTCGAGTGATAATACTCTGATATTGCCCTCTCGAAATGCAGATGTTTTAGAGATAAGAAACAAATTTGTTATGTGATTGTGCTAAAACTATCTCCTAGCATATTAGAAAACAAATGGCTCCTGGTATCAATGGAGGGTGAATCCCACATTGCAGGGCTGACTAATGCCAAGGTCTCACCACATGCTGCCTCAGTCATTCCAATAGTATCCAGAGGCATTTTGTATTTTGTCAGAACAATGTTCAAGGATCAGCCCTCTCCACTAAAGAGCACCTTAACTTTATAACCAGTGGTCACCATTGCAGCTTAATGATGAACCTGAGCATGATGGTGCCATGCAGCACTGTTCGGAGCAGGCTTTCAGGTGACTTAGTTGTGCCCTTTGTGCATGTTTTCACTTTTCTTGGAAAGTTTATTTTGCACCCAGACTGCTTTTGTTCTTGTTACTCTTCTGTGAGCTTTCTGTGAATATTTTGATTTTTTTTTTCTGTGAATATTTCTATTACAGAAGTATGTGTTTCGGAGTGCTGTAGTTCAGTTGACCTGCAATATCAGTTGTGGCGTGTGAGATTTTATTTTTAGCTAATTAGTCTATGTAAATCCACACTCTCATAAAATAATTAATGTTAACAGGAAAGCAATGAGATTTCTATTCTCAGGACATCTCACCTGATTCTGTGGAAGGTAGGGAGGATAACAGAATAGTTCAACTTGCAATATTGATTTTAAATAAGATATCCAAAGGCAGAGAAGTCTTTAACAAAGATTGCAAACCCATTATATCAACAGCTTAGAGTAAAATGTCCTGCAGCTTCCCAAATTCCCCTCTTCTGTAGCTGAGCCTCTTGTGCATGTGAGTCACTGGAGGGGCAGAACTTTTTACTACCACAGAGGTTTTGGTTTGTGTGTTAACAATCCTTTCAATGCGAGTATATTTTAGTTGGAATTCTTAAATGATGCATTCAACCAGCAGGACTAAATCCAGCCCAGTAGGAGTCAGAGCAGAAGGTAAATGCTAACTGGACGAGACGCCTTCAGCCTCGCTGCTTGCTTCCAACCCCAGCACGTTACTCCACTTCCCCTTTGCACTTACTGAGTGGTTCTGAATGGCTCCAGTGCAAGACGAGAAGAGCTTTGCCCCTGAGTGTTTGCTAGTGATATCTTGAAAATCAAGTGCATCGCTCTCGCCCATTCCAGCCTGTCTGTTGATCTCTCTAACCATCTCATCAAGAAAGGACCTGAAGCAGAGTAGTCTTCTGTTTCGATTAAACGCCTTGAGCTCACATGGGAGAAACTGCTTGACTAATCAGGATAATTTTCCATCCCCAAAGGGCAGGAATTTTAATGCCTTGGCCTAAGGAAATCTCAGCAATATGCAAAGCGATGCACTGTTAGAAATACCCCAGCTGGCCGGGGGTGTTGTGTCACCTCCAGCTCCACAGGAGACTCATTCACTCCTATTCTGGAGTCTCCTACACGATCTCCACTGCGGAGTATAGACATGCTATTAAAATATTAAGTTTCCATGCATATTATTTCCTTACTTTACAGCTCAGGAGCTGGTGGTGATCTTGCGCTGAGAGAGGGATGACATCAGTTCCGAACAGGATAAACTAAGTGTCGTCCTCTTTAGGTCTCAGAACTCTGCCATCCTTCAGCCTGATAACTTGGTTTAATGCACAACCTCTTCTTTCATTTGACGTTTAAAATGTGCAGGAATATACTGCACTGCATGGCCCTCAAGATTAACAAGTTAAGTGTGCCAGAAAAATAGATTGGTAAGCATCTAATCTTCCTTCTGCCTGGCCTTCCAGATTACTTCCATGCTTGGATTTATCTGGTTTGATTGTATTCCAAAATTGTACAGGCTGTTTTTTTTTTTTTTTTTTTTTTTTTTTTCCTTCCCCAAAATAACCTTGCTGCCTAACAGTGTGTCCTGACTCGGTTGCAAAGCAAGCAAACTTGTCTACTTCATTCTTCATAGCCCTGCATCTAAGCTTCTAAACTGAGCATCCTGGAGTTGTTCTGCGATTCGCATGTTATATCTTTCTCATACCTCCACAGTGTTTCAATTGGCAAGAAAGCTCTTTGATCCCTGAATGTTGTAAAGAAAAATAACAGCAGCAAACAATAAAAACCTTTAATTATCAGATGCTACATCACATAATTCAAACATTGGAATTGCTGGGGCTGCTAGCACACCTCTTTGAGCTAGCATCCCTTCCCGAGTTCTGCAGAGTAACTTCAGGAAAGATCCATACAAGCATTTGAGCTAATTAAAGAAGGGTATGTGATCAAACTCTCAAAGCTTTACAAGCTACCACCTTAAACTCTTCCAGCTACAGCACAGTGCCTTTGTAACTGTGTGTTTAGACTGTAACAAATGCAAGCTAATTTAATTTACGTAAGTTTGTAGTGAAAGCAGATCACTGCCCCACCCTCGCATTCCTGTTCTATGTTATATACGTGTGTACCATTGGGATACCTTTGCTTTAGGCATTAAATTCAGGGTAGTTCCTACAGTCATCAACTTTTGGAGATTGCATGGAAACTGGACTTTTCTAAATAGTTGCAGGCAGCCTGTGGGTAGCTCTGTTGGTTTTGGCGGCAGTACAACCTCAAGCAGCTCCACTCACATTGCAGCATGGCACAGGAGGTGGGACAGTTGCGATGAGCAGTAGAGGAGCAGGAGGCATGTTAATGTCTGCTGCTATCCCAGTTACCTGTCACCATCTCTCTCCTAGACCACACTATGGGATGTAAGCCCTGTTTGCACTGTAGCATTGTTTAGGGAGTATCCTTGGCACGACCTTCTGCTCCCAAAGTTGGGCAATGCAAGTAAGACCTAACTCATTAGCGTAGTCTGTCCTGATTGCTCTGCCTGAGCCGCTCAGCAGTGGTAGTGCTTGTGTCTGCGTGAGTTGTCACCTGGTCCATGCAGTGTCTGGGTTTGGGAGAAGAGTCATGGAGGAAGGTCACCAGTGAAGGCAAAACTTCAGGAGGAAGACGATGGTTTTCAAGGGGCTTGTGACTTCCCAAGTGTGCTGGCAGTGTGGGGGCTTGCATGGCATTTTGAGCAGCACCTCTGGCTGAGCACTGGCAGAGAGGATTTTATGCCGTCTGCAGCGGGCTGGAGAGCTCTCATTGATGCCTTATTGTTGTTATCTGGCATGTGTTGCCAGCTTGGTGATGTCGTTCAGGAGCCGAGCAGAAATAGCCGGTCAGCAGCTCCATTAATATCCCGAAACCAGTACTTGGCACAAAGTGAGCTCTTGCCTTAGCAGCTGCTGCCTGCTGTTGAGTGTGGGATTGGGGTGTAACAGCCAGAGAGGAGCCTTCCGGGTCAGACTACAATCTAAGGCCAAGTTCCTTTCCTGAACGCTCCTTGCTTTTGGTTTTGTACGCTCAGAGATTTGCACCAGTGAGAGGGGCTGCTGGGGTCTGTCGTCCAACCTCCTGCTCAAGGCAGGTCCAGTTGGAGCAGGCTCCCCAGGACCCTATCTGAATATCTCCAAGGATGGAAATCACACATCCTTCCTGTCCTAGAGTTTGACCGCCTTTTCCTGTTGAGACTGAACAAAGTCAGTTCTCCCGGCCTTTCCTCAGTACTTCATGTTTTATAGCCCAGTGTGTCAGTGTCTGTCTTGTATCGGGAGAGGAAAGGGAGGAATTGGACACTGTGACACTTGAACACTTAGTCTCCCAAATGCCAGTAGAAAGGAAGAATCACCTCTTGACTCGCTTGCTTGCTGGCTTGACTTGATGGCTGTAGTCTTGTTGGAACAGCTCGACATTTGGTGACCTTCCTTGCTACAACAATCTTTGTAAGCACAACAGGCAACGAGTGGGTGTTGCAGTTTTAGAAGCAACACATAAGAGCTTTATGGAAAGCCCTTTGCCATTCCTTGCTGGAAATGTGTGTGCACGTGTGTGTGACAGTAAACAGTAAGATGATTTTTTCCGTTTGCCATGTGGAAGTGCAGAGATGATTTCAGCTGTGCCTTGAAGGTCTCCGGCAGCTCCAGAACACAACATGCAAGTTCTCCTGGGCAAGGTGTGGAATGAGGGCCCAAGGGGCCAGGAGAACAGCAGGGTGGGACACGTTAAATAGGCAGCCAATAAGATGTTGCAACGCACTGCCCCCGCTTCTTTCATCAGTGCTACTGTCTCCTGGCCTTCATCCTACTCCGTGCCCACGCGCCTGTGAAACAGGTTGTCTGCAGTATGTGGCAATGATAGATCAGTCCAGCCACTGCTGCACTCTGCATGCTCACTTTGACTGATGTCCCTGTGACACAACAGCCGTTTCCCTGCCCGTGCTCCTGCTCACCCCTGTCTGAAGCAGGTAACTGTCTTAAGCAAATTTTTTTAAAAAAGTCATTGTTGTCATGGTTCATGCCTTACTTGGACACAAAAGCATCTCTTTCTTAGAGCTCTTTTAAGGATTATCCATATCAGTTTTGTTCCTCATTTTACCTGCTTCTAAGGACAAGAGAAAGTTGGGTTTTTTTTTTTTCCTCCTTTTTAATTACCTATGAAAAAGGACTTATCAAGAACTGGTGCTGCCTGCAACACCCAAAACTATCCTGGCAAAGAAGTAGGAGGGAATAAATATCCCAAGACCCACTGCTTATAGAAACAGAGGCAAAGTCCCTGCCTCTTTGTAGGCCTTTGAAGCAGCAGCGGTGACCTAAGTAGGGGCGGTGACAGAGCCTCTCTTTCCATGAGCCAAGAGGAACTGGGGTAGCTCCATCACTATCCTAGGTCAAGTCGAATGCAGACCCGCGACACCGTGGCAGCAAAACCAGCTGTTCTGGGAAGTGCCCAGAGCTTCACTTTAGCCAAACGCATTTTATGAGAAGAGTAATTCCTTGTTATTCCCTGCGTCCGTGTGGAGGCTTCTGAAAGCAGCTGGAGCACTGTCAGCTGGGGGAGTACAGGGGAGCGACGGGTGATGTAGCTGCTGGGGACAAGCAGGGCTGGCAGTATGGAGAGGGAATGCAGTCAAAGCTGGGGTGGGGAGAGGAAAGGGGAAACTTAGTAATGACAGACCACTTCTAGGTCCAAAAAGTATCCCCAGCCTCACGGCACTGTAGCCAGGGAAAGTGTGTGGTGAATTCCTTGTGCTGGAGTGTTGCAAAACTTGGCCTGTGCCATGTTTGGAGTACTTAGCTTGGAGCTGAAGAGTTTCTGCATGCTTGTACCCCCAACAGTCCCTTCTACAGTAATGGTATAGAGCTAAATGCTTCACATTTCGCCTCCCTGAAGGAGAAACTGCAGCCAACTCCTCAAATCACAGAATCACAGAATGCTTAAGGTTGGAAGGGGCCTCTAGAGATCATCTAGTCCAACCCCCCTGCACACGCAGGGTCACCTAGAGCACGTGGCACAGGACTGCATCCATGCAGCAAGTCCCTGCTGCAGGCAGTTTGTCATCCCTGCACAGGGGCCACAGCACCCTCTCCAGTCACACTGGCTGCTCGTCGCTCTTTGCAGAGCCTTCTCCTTGCACTGGTTTGCTTCCCCAGGGCGCACAGGGTAAAGTGCCCGCTGAGCAATAGCAGGGAGCGGCTGTGCAGGGGTCTGTGTCCTTCTCCCTCACCTCCAGCGCTGGTGTCTGTAGCTGGTTTGACCCATGGCGAACAGGGGAAGGTACAAGGCAGCAGTGGGCACGTGGGAACAGCAGGGCTAGCTAAAGGCCTCCTCTTGAGTTGCTGTCATACAGTCTTGAACAGAGGTTCGGGAAAAGAGAGAGAGAACAGGCAAGGCGAAGGCCCTTAACACAGCCAAGAAGAGCCTGATGTTACCAGCCTGAAAAGAAGATGCCTCCACAGAGCTCCAAGGCTATATTTCAGAGGAGGATGGTATCCAATGCATGATGGCACAGAATTCAGGAAGCAAAAATCGACTCATAAGATCAGTGGCTGGTTTTGGGAGGCCTTAACGCTAGTGTGATGCAAGCAGATAGCGTCCAGATAAGAACAAAGCCTTTTAGCCCAAGTTAACTCATCAGGACTTTCAGAACAAAATTTTATTAGCGCAGTGCATCTTGTACTCAGTTTGATGCTGTTTTTATTATCATCTGTGATGTTCCTGGCCTGGCTCTAAGAAACCTGCAGTTAGCTTTAGCAGATTTAAATCCTATTCTGGCATCTAAAAGCTAAACGAGAACAAAATTTCTAGGCAAAGATGCCGCTCAGTTGTAGCAGACACTGGGGTGGGAATTAGCCTACTGGGAAGGCAGCTGCCTTGTGAAGACCGACCAAAAAGATGAAGGGCTAGAGCACAGGGGGTACTTGGTCTACCCAGCAGTTCAGGGAAATGCTGAATATGGCTTTACATGGTTATTTGGTTCTAAACCTACCCTTTTCTGAGTGTTGTCCCTTGTTTAGCAAATGAAAATTATACCATATTTGTGTTATAGCATGCTACTTTTCCCTAAAAGGTTGTTATTCCAGGGACCAAACGCTTAGATTATGGTAAAGTAATTGAGCCTGGAGCAGTACCAGGTAAGTGACCTTTGAAAGACCGCTTTGATCTTGAGATCTCCCCTGGAAGGGAGGTTAGGTTTAATCTTCCTGCTTGAAAAAGATGTACTCCTAGGGGCCTGGAAAAGCATTTCAGAAGAGACTTTTTATCTAAGACATAATGATATTATCAATTTAGTAGTGCCCAAAACAAATATTTGCTGATGATGGTTGTGTTCTACAAAAGTCTTAATTCAGTTTTATAGCTTGCATAAACTTCAATCCTGCAAATGATTTGATTTTGTTTTCTCTTAAGAGGGAGGGAAAGCCATGGCATACATTGTAGAGACTGTCACCCACAGATCCTCCGTTCAAGTCTGATTTCTCATCAGTTATTTAAAAGGAGAGCTGAGTGCTCTGTGCTAACTGCCTGCAGTGAGCGAAATGAGTGTGAAACTCAACTCTTCTCATCCTGACTGAGTACTCTTAATTTCAGGAAAAGGTCTCCCACATGTTACTCTGTAGATAAAAGCCCAAGGAAAGTGAACATTGGCAGGATAGGATGGCACTGCCAGCTCTTTGAGCAGGAGGAGAAAAATAAGGCACAAGTGTGGGCAGAGTAGCTTGCTTGAAAGAAAGACATGTTGCTTCTTTTGCAGCAGCTCTGGAATGAAAGTTGTATCTCTGAGGTTACTATTGTGGTGAAGTAATGGGCACAATTCCTAGGGGACTCACGGAAAGGAGGCTGAAATCTGGGAAGTACATTGCTAATAACTCTTCCTTTCTCTGTTTACAGGTAAACAGCTGGATGGCATCTGGTAAGTGACTGGATTTAAATTATAGAATGTATGTTAAACACTTTGCAGCATAGAAAGTATTTTCTATATGAGATTATATATGCTTCAGACCTTAAGCTGCCGCTGAAGATATACTCAGGTACTTTCTGTTCCTGAAACTGGATACCATGATGTACAGTCAGGTGCCTGTTGCTCCTCTGGAGTCAGAGCTCAGCAGACCCCATGGCTGTGTCATTTTACTGCTCTTGTACCCTTTTTTAGGCTAGGATGCTGTCCTTGTCCCAAACATTTTGTCTGCTAATCGCAGTCTTAGCTAAGCGTGACAATACAAGAGGAGGTGGAAACTATGACTACATTCAGTTACAAAACATTCCCCTCTTTGCTATAGTTTGCATCCAGGACTGAAACGAAGACAACAAAAATCAAAGAAGCCCATCCGTCTCCGATCCCTCTTCCCTCTGTATTCAGCCGTCTTCAGCTATTGCCCAAACTTTTCCTAGGTTGTGGCTATCAGTCAGACAAACTTCCTCCGGCAATATAGTAATGGGGCTGGCGCCATCTCTGTGGCTACGCCCTTGTGTCTGTAGCTGAAAGAGGCTCCTGGAGATCTCATGTAGGAGTGGGAAGACCTTTTCTTGCCACACTGGGCACCACCCAGCTAACCCTCATTTCTCCCAACCGTCTGCAGTGTTGTGTGAGGCTTGAGAATCCCTATTTTCATTTCTGCTGGTGTCCCAGGAGTTGGTGCTCCTAGCCACAGAAACACCTTGACCTTTTCTTTCGAAGTTACTTCCACGATGTGCTTGAGCATGTGATTTTACCAGTGATTATATGTTAGATGAAATATTTCCTTTGTTTCACCTCCTTTCTGTCCTCCTTGGCAGGCACACCTCCATTATAGTCCATAAGGATGAGTTCTTCTATGGCAGCGGAGGAATCTCCAGCTGTGCACCTGTAAGTTAAACTTATTTTTTCAGATAAAGTAATTTTGTCATAGGGTTAAATGATCAGAATTTTGTCGCCGTCCTTCAAAAAGTCAGTAAGTGAAGAGGCTTCTGAATTCAGCCAGCTAAGGCTGCTTGCCATGGTGGTCCAGGCCATCTAGGGAAAGGGAACATGAACGATGCATTTAAACCCAAATAAATTCCTTCAGTGATGGCATTCTCGGTAGGGAGACACTTATTTGCAGTTGCATTGCCTGATCGGCATCTCATCTAATTCTGTATAGGCAGTTTTTGCCTGCAGACTTGGCAACTCAAGGCATCCTTTTAAAAATAAAAAATCTATAATGCTTTGACAGCCCTTTCTCTTCTTGCAGAGGCAAAACTGATGGGCTGCCCTTCTAAAATGAAATTTTGCCATAGTTCAGAGCATCCAGCTTAAAGAAGCAAATGTGCAAGCTGAAGTGCAAGTTGCATGTTCTCTCTCATTCTCCAAGCACAGAAGAAGGGAAGCCAGTAGAGCTCTTTGCTTGACAAACCTACTAAGAGTTCCTCCTCTTGTGTGTGGGCAACCCCTGACAGCTCTGTTCCATGGAGTCCTTCAAAAGAATGTATTCTGCCTGTTTAACGTTTTCTTCTGGCTGCTAATTCTTGCAGGGGGGAACACTGCTTGGCCCTCCAGATTCGGTTGTTGACCTGGGGAACACTGAAGTCACTGAGGAAATTTTCCTGGAATATCTTTCCTCATTGGGAGAATCTATGTTCCGGTTAGTAGCAGCTTTTATTGTAAAATTCGTGTACCAAGAAAAGTGCCTAGGAGCAGGAGGGAGGAAGGTGTTGGGAGACCAATCTTGTTCACAAAGAGCTACCTAATGTAATACTTGCTGCCCTCTAAATGCAAGGCTGGAGCTGATGTTCTAGTGTAGCGAGGGACAAGCTAACAACCCTGATGTGCTGTGCTGGGAAAGGTTCTGCTGGGAAGCTCTCACATTGCAAAATGGGATAATGCCTGATCCCTCCTTGAAAGGATCATCAGAGAAAAGGAAGGCAGTGTATGAAATGTTTCAGTAAATAGTGCTTTCCCTTCTGAGTTGGAGGCAAAGTGTTGTAGGAGAGCTGCCAACTTTCAGATGAGTAAAATCAAAGTCTTTACTGTTAAAGAGTCTGGTGAGCTCTTCACAAGAATAGGAGACTGAAACTGTAGAATTTAGTGTTTGGGCTAAATTTCACTGTCAGTAATTCCTGTGATTTCTCTTCATTCTTTCTGTGGTTTTAATTGAAGAAAGCTGACCTCACTTTCCGCCACAAAAGCCTTTGTCTGGTGTCAATGATGCAGTGATGTCATTGTCCACCCTGATTCAATTGAATTTGAAGGTGAATTGACTTCTGTATTTTGCCTATTTGCTTTAGAGACCTTTGGGATGAAAAGTGCTAATGTCAGGAGATGTTTCGCATTAGTGGTGTAAGTTTCTGTGCTTGTTAGATTTATCGCTGAGTCTGTCTTTCTGTGTTTCAATTCCTTTCCTGTGGCACAGAGGAGAATCTTACAACCTCTTTGAACATAACTGCAACACCTTCAGTAATGAAGTGGCCCAGTTCCTGACAGGAAGAAAGATCCCTTCCTACATCACCGACCTTCCAGCCGAGGTGCTTGCCACGTGAGTATGACTTCCACTTCTCTCTCTAGTATGTTGCCTCATGCTAACACTTAATATTTCACCAGTGCCATAGTGCCAGCTTCTGCTGATTCTCTGTTGTGGCTCATGAGGGGAGGGAAAGGAGGCAACTTGCTCTACTTTTAACCCTTACAACACTCTGTACCACAGATGCCAACCAGCCTTGGAATTGCTCGGAAAATGAAAGAATTGAATGAGTCTATTGAAAGATAAACCAGGTGCCACAGATTGCAGCAGAAATTATTCTGCAAGTACTGAACCACTGTTCAGTAAGGAGGGGCTAGAGGCTGTTCCTCTAGCAGAGTCTTTAACATTGATGTGGTACTTAAGTGTGTGAACAAAATCCGGCCTATGCAACTGAAGTTATTCATTAAGTAGAATGAGTTACCAACAGCTGGTTACAGACATGGGATTATCATGTTAGCAACGCAGACATCTGAGTGCTTTAGATGAGCTTGTATAAAACCATGATTAAGATTCTTAGTTACGGAACATTCAAATCTTTAATTTAACTTGTAAAAAAAAAAAAAAGTGTTCTGTAATTTGTAGTGAGATCTTGGTTGATCTGATCAATATGTATAAGTACCTGAGGGGGGAATGTAGGGAGGATGGGGCCAAACTCTTCTCGGTGGTGGCCCGTGATAAGACAAGGGGTAACGGGTACGAGTTGAAATCCGGGAAGTTCCACCTCCTTGTGCGGAAGAACTTCTTTACTGGGAGGGTGACAGAGCCCTGGAACAGGCTGCCCTGGAAGGTTGTGGAGTCTCCTTCTGTGGAGATCTTCAAAACCTGCTTGGATGCCACCCTGTGACATGTGCTCTGGGTGTCCCTGCTGGAACAGGGAGTTGCGCTGGATGATCTCTAGAGGTCCCTTCCAACCTCAACCATTCTGTGAGTCTGTGATTTTTATTCTTCAAATTTGCCTCTACAAGGCTGATTTGATTCTGCTCTAGGAAGTGAGTGCATTTCAGTAGTAAATGGGGAAAAATGTTCATCAGGGAGCTATTTGAGAATTTTCTTTTTGTTTTTTTGCCTTCTCAGACCTTTTGGACAAGCTTTAAGGCCACTGCTGGACTCCATCCAGATCCAGCCACCAGGTGGAAATACCTTCAGCAGACACAATGGACAGAGCTAACAGGAGTGACCCGGTGTGCCCAGCCTCACCAGGCCTCTTCCTTTTTAATCATGAATTATCAGATTTCTATTTTATAATTTACCATCAGAATTAACTCTATGGAAATGACAAGATAAGTTTCCAAATTTCATAGGGAGAGGATTTATCAGGGTGCATGTAAGACAATGCTACCAAAAAGATTGCCATAATTTCTAATAGTATTATACTAACTTATAAAGGCTGTCTTGCCCGAGTAGGTTGTCACTTTTGAAATGACTCCCATGACAGTAAAGTGGGGATTCATTCCATGAATGTTCAAGGGCCCATTGTACAATTTGGGATAAATTCCAGCCATCCATTGTAAGGCTCACATCTCTATCTCTTGTCACTGCCTATATTTTGGTGGCATTTACTCATGCCTGTAGCAGAACGACAAAGGAAGCGTCTGTGGCCTAGAATGCCAAGGTCTCCCAGGGTTAGCCTGCTGTGTATTTCATTGACATTGTGTTGTTTGCTCAGGGGAAAAGCTGAACTCATCTGATTAGAACATTTGAAACCACACAGCTATGTGGGAAAGGTGGCCTAGTTGAATTTACTGTCCCTCTCAAAACTGCAACTTTCAATGGGATTAAAGGGGGCAAGCGAGGGAGGGAGAGGCTGCAGATTAGAATTACCAAGAGCCACCTCCTGCTAGATCCAAGAATTATGAGAGAGCTGAAAAAACAATCTTGTGAGCAGGAGTGGTAGAAACGCTTTTGGAGTGAGATCAACATGAAGTGAAAAGTTTCTTTTTTCTCTCAAGCAAGCTTACTAACAAATACACAGAATCTTATTAACTATCTACCTTCACACAAGAGCTGGTTTTGCTCACAATGCCAGATTTGCAGTACAGGAAGTCAGGAATAGCACAGCAACTACATAATAATACAAGATAGGCCAATTCTGCCTTCAATATCCAGTTGCAGCTACAGCAGGAGTTACAACTTTCCCAGATGTCACTGTCCTTTCCAAAGCAGTCACATCCAAAGCAGGACTCTGATTAAATGTAAGAGAAATGGGTAACTGGTCTGCCCAAATCTAAAGAAAATGTGCAAGTCTAAACTTAAATGGAGCCGTTCCACAGAAAAGCTTATCAGGACGTATACAGAAGCAGGTTTATCCTCAGATTGACAGTAGATTGCATCAGTACTGCATCTCCCAATTTAAAGCTCTTAGAGCTTTGTTGTTATTTGCAGTGGGAAAAGATAAGGGAAAGAATAGGCACATTCACTTTTCATGCATGTATATACACTTTTATCTGGACAACTCTGTAGCAATTACTTTTAGGAAGGAACACAAGAAAAGAGTCATCAGACAACTGGAACATTCCCCACATCCAAAAGCGTTGCTGATTCTCCATAAAGGGGGATTGCACATGCTGGGTGCTGCTGATAAAGCGTCTATGCAAGTGTATAGCCCTTTGTCCAGTGCTTTATTGTGAAAAGAATTGCAGCAAGTTCAGTCCTGCACCTTAAACGTCCTGCGCTGGAAAACTCCTGCCTACCTAAAGTAGATAACTTTTCTCTGCGGGATACTTTCTCCCCAAATAATAACCTTTTTCGTGTTATTATTCAGTAAGAACTGTAATCATTCATATTTTTCTGTGGATGGAACAGAGGAAAACTACAGCTTTCTGAGGCTGCATCAAATATTCTTTTGCCCTGCATCTTGTGAAATCACTACATACATAAAAACAAGGTACTGGCGGTGCATTCTGCAGTTGGGAATGTACCTGCTCTCAGTGCACAGCAGAGGTTGTTGCAGCCCCAAATGTTTTTCTCCTTCTGTCGTTCTTTGCTTGTGCCATCAACTTCTCCTTAAGTATTTGATGTACTGGACTCTGAAACAACTTTAATGGTTAGTTCTGGTTTATACAAAAGCTCTCAATCTTTCCTTCATTTTCCCTACCAAAAGTCAGTGTTTGTGGGGGAGGGAGAGGGGGGGAGTCGCTCAGTAATAAAGCATTTGTGAACAGCTTTTGGTGCTTTTGGAGGAAGAATGGGTAAGTGTTTGTGTTCTGCTAAGCCATACCTTAATGTTCTATAGCCTCTCCAGTCTTTCCCATACCTATTGTGTAAAGAGTAACTGGTCTCTCACCTGTGGTAGGTGTCTAAAGCTCAGTAGCAGGGGAGATCCTGGAGCTTCCCTGGCCAAGCAGGTAGAGCCAGTTTGACAGGGTGCAGCCCCTCAGGGCTGTGGTGGTTTTGCTCCTCAAAGCAGCGCGGCGGCAGCTTGTCAGCAAGATAAGCAAGGCCAGACGCTCTGCTTTCTGTTCAGGGCAGCTCTCAGCTCTCACACATGGGCTCAGCCCCACACTCCATTGCCTGGCGTGGCTGCGTCTTGCCTGTCTGCCCCTCCATGGTCCTGAGCCTGCCTTCTGCTCACTGCCTCCCTCAGGACCCCTTACATCCTGTCAGGAGGGATTAAAGAAAAGGCAGAGGTTCTCTCCATGTCTTGCATTTGCCATTTCCCCTCCCAAGCAGTCCCTTTGCAGAGAGAGCACTGCTCTTTCAGTGTCCCCAGGTGAAATGTCACTTGGACATACTCTGTTTGCAGTAGCAACGGAGCTCTGAAAGGAGCTCCCCAAGGGCATCCTTGCATCTGGACCTGCTCTTGTGGCAAGACCTCCAGGAGGGGATCCTGTTTGCTTGAACTTAGCTGAAGAGCGAGATGCCTATACTGAGCCAGGCCTTTAGAAACCCATTTTTTCCAAAGATGGATATGTGAAGATTGCAGAACTGTGTGCCCAACATTCCACCCAGCCATACTTATTTATAGGAACATAAGTTAGAATGAGAAATGTATGTAAGTGTATATAAGCCAAGAATTTCAGCCAGTTGATTGACAAAGGGGCAGGGAAGCTCTCCCGAAAGAGAGCAGAACCTATTTGCCCTAACTTACTGTTCTGTCTTGTGTTATTGGGCTTCCTCCAAGCCATTTTAAAAATGTTAAGAACATCATCGGAAAGCGATGTTTTGGGGGTTTTCCCCCCTTTTTTTTCTTATTACAATAAACAGAAATACAGCAGTGTTCCTGTTTGTATGTCTATGTCTGCACAGCTGCCGACTCTGCTCCCACTTGGAAACTGCAGCTGTCCTAGGAAGCTGTGCCCTGTTCCGCTGTTGGAAGCAGCGCTGGGTACTGTCCTTTGCTGGAGCTGGTCGTGCCAATACTCCTGCCTAAGCCGGGGGAAAACTGTTTTTGTAAACAAGACCTGCAGGTTGAACAGTCATTTCTTATCTGGGTGAGCATGAAAGAAAATATCTGCTATTGAAGAAGAGGCCTCACAGAGTTTGAACACAATACAGGCCCTGACTTCATCCTGATTGTCTCAGTGCTGATACTTTTAAGGAGGAAAATGAAACAAAAAGCTCTAAGTAGCCTTCATGCTTGTAGCTGCAGAGGCAGTATTGGTGGTAGGGCATTGAAGAAGGAATGCCTGGCTCTGGGGTAAAAATACTTTGTGCTTGGTTCAGCCTTTTGAACGCTTCCTGAGGGCACGGAAATGTTAAATCGCTCGGTTCCTGCAACGGTCTCTGTCGGGTCTGTAGTAGCAAACAGCTTCTAACAAAGGACACGAGATTGCGGTTGTTTGGGGCTGTGCTCTTTAGCAGTGATGCTGATCCACGAGCGAGTACCGGCGTTAGCTCCATGTAAAACACCTGGGAACACCTACAAAAGGAAAATGCCAACTGTAATAGCAGCGCTTGACAGGGGTCCGCACTCAGGCACTTACCCTCTAAACTGGAGACCAAGTGTTTGCCCTTGCTGCTGGTTACAGGCTTTTTATCCACAGCAGCAGCTGTTGCGTGGCCAAAGAGCGGTCAAGGGAATGTATGGAGGGATCCACAAGGCTGCTCTAAATGTGTCTGTGAAGTAGTAACTAACTAAGCCGTGGCAGTTCTGTCCTCAGAGCTAACCCAGCTCCTTCACTAAGGAGCAAACACAATTGCACGCGCTTTACCCAAAGGCAGGTGAAAACGAACGCGCTAGTCCTCACCTGCTTGTATCAAACGGCGTTAATAGCGTCTAGGGAGATGCTTTGGCGCCCTGTGGACTGGAAGCGAGTTTTTAAAGCCATGTGACAGAAATAAGATGGAGAAAGCAAAGCAAAAACATTCACAATTTTGAAAGCTGTGATGGTGTGAATTTGCAGCAAAAGCAGCTGTGTGTTTTAATGGAGTCCTGCTCCAGCGGAGTGCCAGGAGGTGGCGGTGCCGCCGTGTCTCACTGGGACAGATCTCTGCCCTGGCCCTGCTGCTCCGGTGGGAGCTGGGGAGCTGCTCCTGCCGACCATCCTCTCCAAAGGCTCTGCTTCCACCCTTGTGGAATGAGCCGATGTTCAGCACGGTGCCTGAGGGGAAAGGTGCCCAAAAGCATGGCCTTCAAAACAGACCCCTCGTTGGCCTCAGATGACAAGGAAAGACTGGCACCCAGATTCCCTGGGAGACAGTATCCTCTCTATTTTACCCCAGATAAGCTAGGGTGGTGGGACTGCTCTCTGCTGCACCAAATAGGGACATAACATGCAAACACAGAGCCATATATTTTATTTCCAATTCTAGTCTCCACATCTGCTAAGCCAAATTCCCTTCATTTGTTCTACCCCCTTTTGGAACCAGATTCCTGCTTTTATAACACAGTGTCAAGGAAAGTGCTCAGGGTTTGCAGGAAGGTTGCGGGAAGGTGGGATGCTGAGGCCAGACAGCAGCCAACATATTCCAGACCAACATGGAAATACCAGTGAGCAGTGACATGCCAGTTCCTCCTGAAAGCAAGGAGTGCAGGGGAGCTCTGTGTGGAAGGGGATGAGTGCCCAGCTTCCCAAAGCACAAGGGTGCCAAAGTTGTACACCATTGGGATGCTTTTTCGCTTTTTTTGTTTTGAAAACATGCATTTGACAGCAGGAAACTGCAAAGTATGTTCTGATGTCTAGGAGTCCGAGTGGGAGGAAAGATGACCCGATAATAACTGCGAGGCTGAGCACAGTGGTTTGTATTTCTGAAGCCCACGGGAATTCGCTGTGTGTCCCACTCCAGCATTCTGGTTTGGAGAGCTCTGGGGATTAGGAGGCAGCTCCAATGCATGGAGGAACAGCGAGTTGCTTTCTGGTAGCGAAGCAATCCGGATTCATGAAGGTGACTCTATTTTTTAGCATGCAATGACAGACACACCTTGAAATATTCATATTCTGGAATAAATCTTCACACCCTGACTAATCGGGGAGTAATCACACACAGGTGAGCCTTGTAAGAGAGCATAATCTTAAACCAAATTAAAAAATAAGCATAAATTTCAAGCAGTTCAAAAGCTTCAATGCATCTAAGACCAGAGCAGAGTGCAGTGTTTGTGGGGCAGGTTATCATAACCAAGCCATGAAGAAGGCGGCCCAGGAGACAGTGATTCTGCAGAGATGTGGATGCCAGGGCAGGCACTGCTTGTAACACCTCTCCAAGACTACTCGATGCCTCGTTTGAAGCAGAAGAGCCTCTTGTTGCCATCTCAGCTATTTGCATTGCCAGTGAGTGAGCAGTGGCCCCAGCCCCTCCAGAGGGGGCATCAGGAGACCTGGGGGTGAAGCAGACACCAAATCACATACATTTCAGAAATTAGCTTTGCATTCTGCTTCTCCTGAGATAACGGGCGCTGCTGCCTGGACATGGGCAGAGAGGCTGGAGCCCCTTCACATCCCAAATTTCTCTGTAAAGGCAAGCGAGACTGTGCCCGTTTGGGGCACCTGTAAGACTCTGAAAACTCGAGTCTTTTGTGCAGGATGGTGAATGCCCAGGGAGCAGGCTTGGAGCTCACCTGGATGTGCCTTGCCATGGTGCAGCTACCTGCTGCAGCAGGACAGCGTCAAGAGTTTCCCTTTCAGTGGGATTCTTCGTAGCATAAAGAAGCCAGAGTTGTTATATACCCCGCTATGGCTTGTGGCACCATCTCCAAGCAATTTCTGTGCCAGCTTCTCCCACTGTTTCAGAGGCCTCCCCAGTTCCACTTCCATGCCTCTCCAGTGAGCACAGTACAAAAAGAGGTTCCTGCCTTGTGGAGCATCTCAAGCAGCCCAAAGAGTTTGCAGCCACACTCAGTGCTTGCAGCTGCTGCCCTCCCAAGGATGTGCTTCCCCATCCCTGTTCCCCAAGTGCTTTTCCCTGGATGCTCCTTAGGAAATAGCGTGAATGTTGGCATAGCAGGCCAAGGGTATTGAGGTTTTTTTGTTTGTTTATTTTTTTAAATATTGTTCTTGTATGTATGTGGGAGCAGGAAAAAAACAGACTCATTAGCAAAGATGGAGTCTCAGAAGCCACCAGAGAACCGGGGAAAAAAAAAAAAAAAAAAAGCGGTTGCATAATTTCCTAGAAGCAAATAATGCTCAGAAAACCTTATCAGACCAGCTCTTCTCCCAGCTCCAGCACAGCTAGAGCCTGGCAGCATGTCCCAGGGAGAGAAGGAAAGCAAAGTGGTGGGCAAAAAAGACCGAGAAGTCCAAGTCGTCACTGCTGTTAGAAGGGAATTCAGGAAAGACCGGGGTTTTCATACAGGACCGCTGCTAGGCGGGCTGTCTGCTGTTACGTAACAGGCCTGCAGAATACTGGATCTTATGAATATGATCTTACTAGATGGCCCAATTAGACTCTAAATTACTTGCGGGGTAACTGCCAAGCAGGTCACAGCAGAAGTTACTGCAAGAAATGGACTTGCTTTGGTGCAGAAAACGTGAGCTGCTCGCGAAAGAGGAGCTTGTTACGAACACGTTCAGAGGCAGGAACAGCAAACAGGTGCCCACCGCTTCCTCCTCCTCCTCTCCTTAGGGCCTCAAAATTCCCAGAAGATTCCAGCTTGCCAGGTCACTCTATCCATCTATGCAGCCCTGAACTACACAGCAGCACTGTAGGCGCAGTAGTGCCCAGGATAAACCCCGCTGTCCCTGGAGAGAGGTGCCTGCAGCTTAACTAAGCCTGTTATTTTTCAGCTCGCCGGGCAGGCCGTGTTATTTATAACTCCGCTGCAGCGATGCGCGGGAAGCGAAGCCTGCGGGGAGAGATGATGCCTTTCAGCCGGCTGATGAGATTAGGGGCACAAATATCACTAGTAACAACCCCTCACACAAATACTACTAATAATCCCGCTGAAGCGCCCCGTTTTCGGGCAGAGCTGCCCTCCGGGGGCCGCTGAGGCGCGCTGTGAAGCAGCGCTGCGGCCGGGCACGGGGAAGCTCCGCAGCGAG